TGACTGGTACAGGAGAAGATTGTCTCTCCTTCTTCAGCAAAACATCTGGTGGATTCAAAACACCCACCTCTGGGATTGCAGTGCAGCTTCTAGCCACTAGGCTATTACAACTCTATGTTCAGCTCTTTGAGGAAGTGCCAAAGTGCCTTCCAGAATGGTTGTGCCATTTTACAGTCCCACCAACAATTTATGCCTTTCTTTTTCTTTTTTCATTTTAAACAAGAAGTTCATTTAACCAACAAGATGTTTGAAGGGAAAATTATGTAGGATTTATTTCTTTTAGAGTAATTTACCCCTACTTAAAGACACATTGCCCTACATGTAACAACTACGTGCAAAAATGTGATAAAATTGTCCTTGGTTTTACAATGATAAATGAAAAATTTTACAATTCTCCAATCAAACAAGGTATGAAAGGATTTTTTATGTCGTTTTTTTTTTGTTAAACAGTGAGAACAACATGACTTACTGGAATAGAAAGAGAAGAGCTGAATGAGCATGTCACTTAGGGAGAAGAGGAGTATTTTCACAGAACCAGTATTTTTCCCCATCCCTTCTCCACGAGATGTTGATCAAAACACACCATTGGCCATTTAGTTTATTTTAAAAAAACCATACCAAACAAACCTGCAATATGCATGTGCCAGTTACTTTATGTACAATAAAAGAATAGGGAGGGGAAATGAAAGAAGAGAAAAAACTATGCTGTAGCAGTCAGGATGTGCTGGAACCAAATTGTGGTTTTCTAATTGAGAATGTATTCTTGGTTTGCAGGAACAGAGTTCTGGAGCAAAACAGCGGGCTCCTCTGTATTTATTTTAGAAGACACCCATCTGCTGCTGGAACACATCAATTGTATCTTCATCCTCCATTTCCAACTGTGCAGGTGTATCTGATCCATTGATTGGCTGTCCATCAAATCGGAATCTGATCTGCCTCATTGACAAACCCTGTTGTTCACAATAAGCTTTCATTATCAGTTTACTAAGTGGTGTATGCCTCATAATCTTTTTTTTTTTTTTTAAATCAGACAGGAGCAAACAGGATGTTGCAAGTCCTGTTCACGAGGAGACGTTAATCACAACTCATGTATGCTCCAATCATCATATTATCTCTGTTCTCCATAAGGAGGAACAGGTAAGGATTAACCTTACTGACGATGCCTCATAATCTTAAAGTGCACCACAGAACCATCCTGTCCCGCCACCTTCAAATTAATATGATCACTGTTCTCAGTCTTGACTCCTTCCTTTGGTTTCTCCTCGGCCATGGCTAGTGCCAGTCTCCTCAGCAGTCACTTCACAAAAGAGGTACCAGGTTCGCATCGAACAAGCACACAAGCAGCACCAGGAGCGGCCAATGTATGCCTTTCTTACCACATTCTCTCCAACATTTATTCATTTATTACTTGCTGCCTTGTTAAACTTTGCCACTGTTACTGGAGTAAGAGGATGTCTTATTGTGGTTTTGATTTGCGTTTCTCTTACTGCCAATGATTTTGAGCATTTCTTCATATATCTGCCACTTGAGTATCATCCTCTGTGGAAATTCTTTCCATGTCTTTTCCCATTTTGTAAGTGGGTTATCAATCTTTTTTCTTGTGGAGGCTTAGTAATATTCTGTAGACTTTGGTTATGAGACTCTTGGCTGAGACAGTATAATCAATGTTTGTTCCTAGTCTGTAGGTTTCCTTTTCACCTGTTTCTACCAGAGTTTTTGTTGAGTCCTTGAAGTTTTGTGTGTATATTATCATCATCTGCATATAAAGACAGCTTAATCATCTCTTTGCAGATCTGGATGCCTTTTAATTCCTTCTCTTGCCCAGTTACCCTAGAAAGTACTTCCAATACAATATTGAATAGAAGTGGTGACAGAGGGCATCCTTGCCTGGTCCCTGTTTGCAAGGAAAATGCTTTTAGTCTTTCTCCATGAGAATGATATTGGCTCTTGATTTGGCACATATATTTTTCACTATGTTGAGGAAATTCCCTTCTATTCCAATTTGCTGAGTGTCATAATCAGGAAAGGGTGTTGGATTTTGTCAAATGCCTTTTCTGCATCAATTGCTAGGATCATATGTTTCTAGTTATTTGCTTCGTTAACTTAGTGAATTACATTGATTGTTTTTCTTTTTTAGAATTATATTTTATTAATTTTCATAAACATTTACAGAGATTTTGGGCTTCCACTCATTCATTGTTGCACTATTCTCTCTACCCTCCTCCCAGTTTGTTCTTGTCCAAATGATTGTTTTTCTTATGTTGAACCATCCTTGTATACGTGCTATGAATCCCACCTGAAGATGATGAATTATTTTATTATTATTATTTTATATGTTGTTGGAGTCTACTGGGTAGGATTTTGTTAAGGATTTTTTGCATCTAGGTTCATGAGAGATATTGGTCTGCAGTTTTCTTTTTTTTTTGGTAATATCTTCACCTGGTATTGGTATTAGGATTTTGCTTGCTTCATAGAATGTCTTGGGAGTGTTCATTCTTTTTCTAGTCTTTGGAATAATTTAAGTAGAACTGGTGATAGATCTTCTCTGAATGTTTGGTAGAATTCAACAGTGAAGTCATCTAGTACAGGATTTTGGGGTGCGGGGGAGTCTTTTTATGACCTGCTCAGTTTTATCTTTTGTGATGGGTCTGATCAAGTGTTCTACATCTGTTCATGTCAGTCTGGGTTACAGGATGAAATTAAAGGAATCTATCCATTTCCTAGGTTTTCAAATTTATCAGAGTACAGCTTTTCATAATATTCCAATATTGTTGTTATGTGACATCAAGTCACCTGAGACACACAGTGACCCTTTATACAACAGCTCTGAAGCCTTCCCTGTCCTGAGCCAGTTTCACTGACTCCAACACAACCTCCATTGCCCCAGTTACTGTATATTCCAATATTATAGATTTAATTTCCTCTGGTTTTGTTGTGATGTCACTTATATCATTCCTTAATAGAGTTATTTGTATCTTCTTTTTTTCTTTTCTTAAGTTTGTCAGTGACTTGTCAATTTTATTGACCCTTTTGAAAAACCAACTCATTGGGGGTTTTTTATGGTTTCAGTTGTTTTTCTGTTTTCTATTTCACTGATTTCAGCTCTTACTCTTATCATTTCCTTTCATTCGAGGCTGTGGGGTGAGATTTTTTGCTCTTTTTATATTTGATGAAGGTGTGGAGTTAGATCATTAATTTTGCTTCTTACTTCACTGTTTTATGTGTTTGCCTATTGATATAAACTACCCTCTGAGGACTGCCTTAGCTGTATCCCAGTGGTTTTGGTCCACTGTATTTTCATTATCATCTGCTTTGAGGAACTTTTTTTATTCTTAATTTCTTCTATAACTCAATCATGTTCTAGCAGGGTGTTATTTAGCTTCCACATGGGAGGTTTTATAAGCTTTATCCTCTTGTGGTTAATTTCAAGTTTGATGACAGTGTGGCCTGAGAAGATATTTTGTATTATTTCAATGTTAATTAATTTGTTGAGGCTTGTTTTGTGCCCTAATATGTGATCAATTCTGGAGAATGTACCATGTGCATTTGAGAAGAAAGATAAGTGAGTTTTAGTGGGTGTAGTACCCACATATATCTAAAAGGTTGAGGTGGCTGAATATATAGTTTGGAATCTGTCTTTGTTTAGTTTCTTTTGAGTTGACCTATTCTTTGGTGAGAGTGGTATGGTAAAGTCTCTTACCACTGTTGAAGTGCTATTTTCTTCTTCAATGCTGTTAACCATCATTTTATGTATTTTGCAGGTCTATCATTTTGGTATATAGATGTTGTCCAAGGTTATGTATTCTGGATCTACTGTACTTGTAGTCATAATATAGTGTACTTTCTTATCTTTAATGGTGGGGTGTTTTTGTTTTGTATTCTTTTTCTTTTTTTATGTTATACTGCTTTATTTATGAAGTTCGTATACATTGTTTTTCACTCTAGACCTTTCCTATTTCCTTCACCCTTCCTCCACCCATCAAATTTTTGACCCTGTGATTAATCCCCCCTTACCACCCATCCTTACCCTTCTGCTTCCTCCCACGCCCCCCCTTAGACCCTCATAATAGTTCTGCAATTTTATGGTAGTTTTAATCATGAAATCTATTTGATCAGAGATTAGTATTACTACCCCTGCTTTTTTGTGGACGTCATTTGCTTAGTATCTTTTTTCCAGCCTTTGATTTGGAGTCTGTCTTTCTCTTCATTCCTTAAGTTCATTCTTTTATGCAAAGGACCTAATTTATCCTTCATGGTTTGTGGAGAGCTTTGCTGGGTACAAGATTCTTTGTTTGCAATTGTTTTCTTTCAACTTTCTGTATATGCCAACCCATTATCTTCTTGCTTGCATGGTTTCTTCTGAGAAATCAGGACTTAATTGCTTTTCCTTTGTAGGTGATTCTTTATTTTTCTCATGTTGATTTAAGTGTTATATCTTTATCTTTTACTTTGGAGAATTTGAATTGGATATGTCTTGATGTTTTCCTTTTTGGGTCTAGTTTACTTGGTGTTTGCTGAGCTTCTTGAATGTGGATTTCCTCATTCTTCATAATACTTGGGAAGTTTTCTTCTAGTACCTTTTCCACAATTTTCTCAGTAATTTCCCTGTCCCTCTCATCTTCTGGAATTCCAATCATATATATCCTGTTATTTTTTTTTATACCTTCCCACATGATTCTAATGTTTTCTTCACTTTCTTTATGCCTCATCTCCAATTTTTCTTCTAGTATGCTTCAGTTGAGATTCTTGTTTTCCAGTTCCCTGGCTCTCTGTTCCATCTCTTTTGTTTTATTTCATTGTCCTTCCAGCATGTTAGACACTTCTGACACTTAGGTTGTTTTTTTTTTATTTACTTATTTTTTATTTTAATGAAAGTTTACACAGACTTTGAATTTCCATTCATTCATTGTTGCACAGTTTACTCCATGCCCCCCCTTCCCCCATGTTCACTTTTCTCTTTGAAAGGCAAAAAAAAAAAATCTTTCATTGTAATACAATCCCCTGACCCCCTAGTCTACTCCATTGTATAGCTTTCATTCTGGACTCTTGTCATGACAATAATACCTAATCATATATTCCTCCTAAACAGTTCTCTTCCTCATCTATTTCAATGCAGTATACATTATTTATCCCCTCTTAGGTTCCCCCAACCTCAATGTCATTCCCACTTTACAATAGTGGCATTATGCAGTATTTGTCCTTTTGTGACTGAGATATTTCACTCAGCATAATGTCTTCCAGGGTCACCCATTTTGTGTATTTCATGAGTTCCTTGTTTTTTATTTCAGCATAGTATTCCGTTGTGTGAATATACCAGAGCTTCTCTATCCATTTGTTTGTTGATGGGAACTTGGGTTGTTTCCAACTCTTTGCTATTGTGAACAAAGCAGCAATAAACATGGGTGTGCATATATCTGCTTGGGAGGGAGTTCTAGTTTCTTTGGGGTATATTCCCAGTAGTAGAATTGCTGGGTCAAATGGTATTTCTATTTGCAATTTTTTGAGAAAGTACCATAATGCCTTCCATAATCGTTGCACCAGAAATTTTGGTCTTACTTTTCAAGATTGCATTTTCATGCATTTCCTTTATTTCCAGTACGATGTTGACTGTATCCTCTCTATGTTGTGATGGTTTTTTAAGTTCTTGTACCTCTTTAAGGAGCACTAATATACCTCTTTATCAATAGTTTAAATTTTTCTTCAGTCTTTTGCATTTTCTTCTATAGTTGTGCAAGTTTCTCCTCATTGATATATTTCTTTTGGCTCCCTGTCTCTGGAGTATTCACTTTCTTAATGGCTTCCCTTGCTTCTTCCACTATTTGCACTTTGTTCTGTAGCTATTCAAATAACTCTCGGCTAGTCAAATATACTCTCAGTATTTTTTCTGGTTCTCTACCTCTAGGGTATTCCCTTTATTTGTGATCATTGTTTCTTCCATCATTTGTACTTTCTTCTGTAGCTGTTCGAATGCCTCTATATCAACATATATCTTTTGTCTTCTGACTCTAGGGTATCCAATGGGTTTGTAATAGTCTCTGCTTTTTTCTTTTGTTTTGTTTTGTTTTTGAGAAGCTTAATTTGTTCTTTCACAGTGTTTGAAGCTGCCTGCTGCTTACTTGACATTATGTGAAAATTTTCTTGATAAGTGTTAGCCTGTTTCTATTGTATCTATATAAGTTGTAAATAATTCTTATCTTTATGATGTTATTGATCAGTTGCAAACTTAAAATGTTCAATCTATGGGGTGAGTCACTCACTCTTGTGAAAGTC